TTTAGGTAGCTTATGCTGTCCTGTGTTGCCCACTGTATAACATTACCTGATGAGTTATGTTCAACTATGTAGAAATACATACTAATACATATATATACACATACAAAATAAGTGTGTATAATTCAAAAACAGAAATATAATGGGAAAATGTTGGTAACCTCTTAGATAGTGTAGCCCTAAAATTAGCTGAATTTATGCCATGTTCTTCCATACTTCAGAAATCTATGCTACCATATTAAGATGGCATTCCTTGGCCGGCTAAGTTGCCAATTTCCTGGCCCAGCATGATACACAGAAGGAGTGAAAATGGGAAGAAAATGGCTTTTTGGAGAACTTACCTAATATACCTCTCCCTTATTGTTATTTGGAATGACATCAGAAAATCAGAAGGAAATATCATGTAGAAAAGGCAAATTCTCTGCTCTCCTTCTCCCCCAACCCTTAATACACAAAGGAGGAGCAAATGCTCTGCTCATGCTTCACATATCAGGACAGACAGTGAGCTTAGTTTGCTAATGTTTGGGGACACAGTATATTAAAACATCATACAAAGGGGCATGGCTATTACTGACCCTTTTCTACCTGAACATCAAAACTGGCAACGTGGCTGGTATCAAGGGGAGCTTCTGACCCTGAATCCCCACTCGGCATGCCTTCTTTCTGGCCGTCTCATCAGATTCATGTGGGGAAGCTTGGTAAAGCTCATTTTGTGCTTAGACAGAAGGAAAAACCCCTAAGATCTTGAAATAAGCCTTATTAGGCTCTGAACCAGTTTACTGGAATTCCCTACACCGTGGCATAAGCCCTACCAACAGCAACTGTGATTGCGCACACTTTGTCACGTTCCTATACGTGCGTATTTTCCTCAGGAACCCCCATACCCACCAGAGAACCTAGGTTATTGGCAGATGAGATTTGGGAATTCTTTGGTCCTCTGGCCAAACACTGCCAGTTAGCACTCTAATTCCACCATTTTTGAAATTACATACAACAAATTTTAAATACTATTTATTTTGGAGAGTTCAGTTTGGAGGCAATGGAGATTATTTATTACTCAATAAATTTCTGTATTTTTCAAATTTTAACTA